GCCACGAAGTGGAGCCAGACACGTGGGCCGCTACAGCGTGCAGCAGTTTCGGTACGACGGGCAAGTTGGACAATCAAGACGGGGCCCCCCTGGGTCAACCGCCGCGGCGACGAGGTGCACGTGGGCCAGCTCGCACCAGGACTGTTGGAAATGCTGCTAAGTCGAGAAATTGCTTACGAGCGCGAAAGGGCCTTGACGACGAAGTGGAATATGCCTGAGGAGACCCGCGTGGCCTTTGACCTTCTCAAGGGCTGCGCCAGGCCGCGCAGCAGGATGTTCAATAAGCATCAGAAGTTCTGCATCACGAATTGCGCGTGCGACTTAGTCTGGACAGAAGCGAGGGCGCAGATGCGAGGGGACCTTGCTGACGGGAAATGCCCGCGTGGTCCAGGCGGCCGCCAAGTCGATCGGCTACTCGATCGTGCCCAGGCTCACGTCCTCCAAGCGAGGGGGGAGGCTGCAGTGCCTTCGGCTCACCTCCAACGTCTACGCGGTGAGGCCTCCGACCGAATCCTACTTCAAGGTGCGTTCGCGCGTCCAGGGTACGAGCTGCCCGCCATGGACTTGGGAGCGCAGAGTGTCATCATCAACGGCGAGGGCGTCGACGTGGAATGTGCCCCCGAGACGATGGTCGCCAGGGCGCTCAGGGAGGGTGATCAGGTCATGGAAGTGGCGATCGACGGGCCTTGCTCCGGACCAGCGATTGCGCAGGAGTTCCAGGCAGGTTGGGCGACCGCCCTACTCGATCCTCGCTCCGATCGGCCGCTTCGCCTGATGCACGCGGCATGGCCGGCGTCGCTCCCACGGACATCGGCCATGGCGGAGTATATGGCCTACGCGTGCTCTGCTCCGATCGCTGATCGTCGTTGCTTAGGATGTGCAGTTTTCATGGGCGCAGCGAAGCTCGCGCGCAGGAGTCCTGAGAGGCTGGTCAGCTCCAGGACGCCGCGCGCATGCGTGGCGCTCTTTGCTCGAGGCTGCCCGGGCTTCGGGCGCGTCGAGGCCAGATGCCGAAGCGCGCCGCTCTGGCCAAGAATAGGAGAGGCCCGACGCGGATGGATACGAGAAGGATCGCCCACGGCAGCGTCGTGGCAGAAGTCAAGGCGATAGAAGGCGCTGCGCGACACGAGGCGATCAGCTGGGGTTTCGGTAAGGCCGTCGAGAGGGCATCGGCGCATGCGCTGCGCTTTGCTAAGCCGGCCGCTGCCGTTCTTTTCCTTTTCGGCAAGGAAGGGGATGGGAAATGGGCGAGGCGACCGGCGACGGCGAGGAGAGTCAGGAGTGCGCGAATGGATGGCTGGCATCAGTGGGGGTGCACCGAGCAAGGGAAGCAGCGCACGGCGCGCCTCAAGCTGCGCGCGCCCGGCCGGGAGCTCGCCCTCCCAGGTCGCGCGGGCGCCCCGACCTTCCTGAACCAATGCCTGGCGCAGCCGCTCGGCCCCTGCCTCGTCGCGGCCAACCAGCAGGGCAGGGCGCTGTGCACGGACGCGGTTCCCATGGCACTCGCATGCCCGCGTCGCGGGGCCCGGGGGCAGCGGCGGCGGCGCGAGAGGATCCGATGCGCGCGCAGGCCACCATCGAAGGAGCGCGAAGTGTTGCCCGACCTCCGCTGCGGGCGGGGGCCGCGCGAGACGCCGGCGAGACGTGAGCAGACGACCGCCGTCAGTCCCGCGGCCACTGAGGAGCACAGCTGCGAGGACAAGATGGCCGCGCTGTTGGAGCGAACCAAAGCAAAGGAGAAGCAACGCGCAGAGGAGGAGCAGGACACTAACGCGACCTTCGGGCGCACTGCGCTGTGCGCTGGGCACGCGGCAGCCGCCGCGCCACCGCGGCACAGGATTCATGGCAGGCCAAAGGTGGCTAGGTCTTTTGGCTTCGTTGGCAGCGGCGCCTTGTCCTTCGCTTGCGTCAGCTCCGTCGAGCGCTGGGCCAGCGTCGCCATCGCCGAGGGGGGGGCCCTGGCGGGCCCAGAGTGCGCGACGGGATGCAACGATTGAGTTTGACTAGGCACTCTGAAGACGCGCGCGACAGGACCTCTCCCGTCTGCGACAGCGGCGAGATGCAGGGGTCTGCCAGGTTCCGACCTGGCCGAGGGGCGCGCGAGCACCCTGAAGACAGCGAGGGGAATTGTCGGGGGGCCTTTCCTGCAGCTTCCCCCTGCCAGGCGAGGGGCTGGACCTGATGGCGCCGAGGCGAGAAGTCCATCGCCCGCGACGCGTGCCCCGAGAGGCGACAGGGCCACCCGCTGCAGCGGCGAGTGGCCCAGAATACAGTGAGTTGCGTCATCGACAAGGCCGTGCACGTGGCCCCCCTGCCAGGCGAAGGGTTAGGCCTGATTGTGCTGAGGCGCAGGGTTCATCACCTACGACTACTGCTCCGGGAGGAGGGGGGCCACCTGCTGCAGCGGCAAAAGGCCCAGAATGTTGCGAGCTGCATTGTCGAGGAGGCCACTCCTGTGCTCCTTACCAGGCGAGGGGGCGGGCCTCATGGTGCTGATGCGAGAGGTTCACCGCCTACGACGCCTGCCCCGAGAGGCGAAGGGCCACCTGCTGCAGCGGCGAGTGGCCCAGAAGACAGTGAGCTGCGGCACCGAGAAACCCGCGCGCGAGTGTCCCTTGCCAGGCGAGGGGGCAAGCTTGAGGGTGGTGCTCGGAGCAGGGCTTGAAGTGCGAGCATTTCGCCATCGTCATGCTGGTCGACGCGCATGTCTTGCTGCCCCTCTGAGGACCGAACGGGCCGACTCCCGAGACCCGCGGTCCGCGGGCTTGTTCTTTGTGATCCTTTTATTGCTCCCCTCTCTCCTCCTCTCTCTGGCCTTCGCCTGCCTCTTCCTGTCTCCTCGCACATATTATTCCTCCTCCTCTTCCTCCTTGTCCTGGCATGGCTTGTTGCGTTCCCCTCCTCCTTTTCCTCCTCCGTCTCCTCCTCCTCCTCCCCCCTCCTCCATCCTCGCCCCCCTTCCAGGCACGAGGCTCCAACGCAGTCGCAAGAGGGTCGTTTAGGGGTTGTCTGCCCCCCCTTCCTCCATCCTTTGCCACTCCTTCCTCCCTCCTCCTCCTCCTCCTCCTTTTACACCTCCTTGTTCTTGCATAGCATCATTCTCCCTCCTCGACCTCTTCCTACTGGTCCTCATCTGCGCCCCCCCTGGGCTCAGGAAGCCGCATGACTGCATTGGAGACGCCCGGGACGACGGAGGCTGTTCCGCCATTGGGAGAGTCGACGTTCGATGGGCGATGTCTGGGGAGGTTCCGTCGCCGTGTTGGGGGCCACTGGGAGGCCCCCCGTCGCCGCGGCGGGGGGCCCCTTCGGAGTTCCTTGCCAAACCGTGCCCCTCGAGAGATCCAGAGGTCGACCTGGGCGAGGAGGACCCAAACCTTCAATTTTCTGCAGAGTATAACGACGGAGTTTTCTAGCAGTGGTCGTCCTCCATCCATGAACCGATCTCGGGTGCTCTTTTGCGGGCTCCAGGGTCGCGGCAAAAACGATTCTGGATGAGACGCTGGCCCTGGATAAAGGGGTGAGGATCAGGAGTTCGAGGTTCGAGGACTCGCCCCCGAACGGGGCCAGAGCAGATGGGGTCGGAGGATTGCGCCGCGCCGCACCGCCGATGCAACGGCGATGCATCGGCGACGCCAAGATGGAAACGAACGAACAACGGGCCCCACATCGCGCCGTATCGCCGACGCATCGGCGATGCGGTGCGATCCTCCGACCACACACTCGCGGACGACATGTATGCACCGTAACGCGCTGGCGTCTCCCGAGACGTCGTCGATCATCAACCCAGAAGTGGTGTGGGCAGCTTCCGTATGACAGGCGCTGGCATGTGTCGCGCGTCAGCTTGAATGGCTAGTTCACTTTGGCGATTCACCCTTGCGAGGGCAGCTGCTGTTGTGGCTATCTTTTGGGAGCAACGCACTTTAGATCGTAACTCACGGAAGCTTCCGCTTGTATGGGATTGAACGTATGTCGGCGACTAGCGCTCAATTGCGCCTTATACAAGAAGGTTAGGGCTCGGCTCGGTCAGGTTTAGGTTCCGAAGTGGTTCTGGTTCGATTATGTTCGGTTTGGTGTCGTTGTCCGTCCGGTTCGGTTCGGTTCGGCGATGTGATCCTCCCTGTCCAGGGTTTCGTCCGGTTCGAAGTAATGTTTTTTCCGGTTCGATTTTGTTTGGAATTGGCGTTCGGCTGTGGCGCGTTCGGCCAGAGCAACATGGCCCAGTGCGCGCTGCAGGCGGCCGGCCGCGAGGTGCCTCGCCACGTCTGTCGCCGTTCGTCGTTCGTTGTCGTCGTCGTCGGCGTCGGCGTCGGCGTCGGCGTCGGCGTCGGCGTCGGCGTCGGCGTCGGCGTCGTCGTCGTCGTCGTCGGCGTCGTCGGCGTCGTCGTCGTCGTCGAGGAAAGGACCAGGAGCAGGAGGAGGAGGAGCCAGCACAGCAGAAATGCAGACAGCATACAAGGGAGCATTTGGGCACTATTTGAAGTAGTGCCCAGTAGCGCCGAGTAGCGTTCAAATGGCACCCAATAGTGGTCAATAGCGCTCAACGGCGCCATGTGAGGGAGGTGCATTCTGTCCGCTCTGCGCGCGATTGGGCGCGCAATTGGACGCCATGGGGACGACCAACAGCTTCTGTCAGTTGCTTTCTAAAGGTATGGTGCCCCCGGTTTCTGCCATTTTGTGCAAAAACCCAGATGTCGCCAGCCGGCTCGCCTATTGCAGGTTGGTCTTCGTGTGGCTCCGGGCTGGCTCGGTGCAGTCCAGTGGCAGTGGCACAGTCGTTGCAGGGGTGGGCGGTTTTGTGCCGAGGAGAAACGGGCATAGGCTCAGAAAGACAGTCGTATATCGGGTTGGGAGGATGGGGCTGGGAGACATGCTCGGATGCTCCGAATCGCCTGCGTATGTTGAAGGCGCTCATGCCACAGCCGTGCCCCGTGCCTTCCCGGCCCCCCTCCCTCCCAGCACGAGAAGCGTTATCCTCCATGGCGCCCCCGGGCGCGTGGCAGGAGCCCGCCTTCCCGCACGGCGTGCAGCAGCCGGGACACGCCGCGGAGTGCCGCCCGAGCGCGCGGGCCTCGGGGGCTCGGCGCGACGGGACCGCACCTGCTGGAAGGGGTCGAGCGCTGGACTCAGAGGATCGGGCGGGACGAGAGTGTGGGATTTCGGGGGCAGCCAGGATGGGGTGATGACTAGGGACTCGGGGTGTGTGTATGTGTCTGGATATCGAGGTGGCGGCCGTAATATATATATATATATATATCATATATATATGTATGTACAGATATACTTATATTTATATATATATACAAGGCTGCAGTGGCGCTGCGCGCCATGCACCTTGGTTCTTGAAGTTCGGCATGCTGGCGGAATAGCAGGAAGGTCAAGCTGACAATTTAGCGATAACTCCTTGTTGCCTTTTCCGGCATCGCCGCTATGATAATATTTTTCGTTATATTTCCTCTTTGTTTCTTTTTCATCATGTTCGCCATACCTTGCGCATTCTCCCCATCCTCCTCAGCTCTTTTTTGCGGAGGCTCCTCCTTGGAGAGTCTGGGGGCCTCACAAAAGTTGTTTCAGGCTTTCTTAAGTCCTTTTGGAGGCCTCCTGGGCATATTCTGGTGGCCTTCCTCGGGCCACCCTGCCTCCAACCGCGGTCTCCCTGAACGACCGGGTCACGATTTGGAATGCATCGGAGGGTGTCTTGGGGCCATTTTGGGCCGCCATGGGGCTCTCTGAGGGCCATTTTGGACCCGTGTTGTGCCGTTTTGGGGCTCTCTTGGATTGCCTGGAAGCCCTTCCGGATGGTTGTGGGGCGATTTTGGAGCCTCCCAGGCGGCTTCGGACGCCCAGAAGACCGCCGTCTTGGAGCGTCGGGACGCCGAAAAGAGGAGAACCCCAAATCCACCAAAAACCAACAGAAAATCAATGATTTTGCCTCTTGGGGCCTTCTTGGGAGTGCTTTTGGAGGCCTCTTTGAGGCCGTCCTGGAGGCCTCTTGGGCCGTCTCGAGGTCACGTCGGTCACTCTCGGAGCGCTCTTGTGCTGTCTTGGGGGTCTCTGGGACGTCGCCGATGACCCCCCTGATCGCCCTAGGTGTGCTGGGAAGGCCCGGCAAAACGCCTTGCGAGGCACGGGGGGCCGCTTCGAGGCCCGTCCGGACGGTCCCAAAGCCCCAGATCTTGGGAGTCCGGTTTTCCCCCCGCCCGGGCATATAAACAAGGGCTCCCTCGAGGGCGCGAAGTTATTCGCGCTTCGCGCTTCGCGGTCCTCGTTCCTTCTCCCCCTCCTCCTCGTCCTCCTATTCTCCTTCTGGGAGGGCGGCGCGAGAGCGCGAAGTTATTCGCGCTTCGCGCTTCGCGCAGCGCGAAGCGCGAAGTTGGGAGCCCTAGTTGAAGACGTCCCCTGGCTTCCCCCTGGGCCGCGTACGCGCCGTGGGCCGTGATTTTGCGCACGCCCCATCTCGGACGCCCCCGTTCTGGACGCATCCGAGGATAGGGGATAGGGACATCGGGGGGTACGATCACCACCCACCAAACCACCCCAACCCAACCCGAAGGCCTCAATTTGCCCTCCATTTCCAGTGGGGGGGGGTCGGGGAACATTGAAAAAACACATATGGAGCCCGTACCCCCCCCAACCCGAAATTGGGGTCTTCGGGTTGGGTTGGGGTGGTCTGGTAGGTAGTCATACGACATGTGCTGCATGCAGCTGGTTTCCGCCCGCCGCCGGGCCCACTCTTCGATACGTGGGCGCCTCCCGACGCCAGGAGGCGCCAGGAAGACCAGCTGCGTGAGTTGATTCTCTACCCTACCCTTTGCTCGCCTATACCCGTTCGCCCCCCCAGAGAGGAGGGAAGGATGCCGCTATCCCCTCGAGCAAAGGTAAAAAGCACGACGGAGGGTTTTTCCCTATTCTTGGCCGCTGGGGGGCACCGGGCCTCGGGGTCGTCTGTAAAAGCAGCTCAGGACGAAACGTGGTCCTGGCAGATGGTTCGGGACCTCTGGGGCTCCACGTTGTGAAAACAAACGTGTCGTCAAGAATTTGGGAAGGGGGCTGGTCCTGGAGAGCCCTCGTCGCCACGGCTGGATGCTCCTCGAAGTCATGGTTAGGATGCGCCCTGGGAAAGGTGCATTGAGTAGCGGTATTGGTACCTTTTTTGCTCCCACCATGGACGCTTCGCCGAAGTTTCCGAAGAATCAGACATCAGCATACATTGTAGGCATTGCTGTCGAAGACTGGCGCGAATTTATCAGATCTGCGATGGTCCGCCCTGGCGGCGCCGCCCCTGGCGCGCTCCGCGCGCCAGGGAGGGGGCTCCAGCGCCGATCCGAGAGTCCGCGGGGACTTCTGATTGTGTTCGTATGGGTGTACCCTCTCAGTGATCCCCACCACCCTATCCAGAAGCGATGCCCAGGCGAGGCGAGTTGCCCTGATCAGGGATTGGGGATGTGCAGGAGCGTGCAGTTGCAGTGGAACGCGCGCGGGCGTGTCGAAGGGGAAGGAGGAAGGAGGTGGAAGCGGAGGAAGAGGAGGAGAAATCTGCATCGGAATCGGGGCAGTTGCGAGGCAACATCAACATCCAGTAACACCCCACTTCCATCTCAGAACTCCCCGAGCGTCGAGACGACCCAGAGGCCAAAGAAGAGTAAGAATATGCTGCCTCCGGAGTCGCCCTGTTGCACAATTGACACCATTAGTTACTCAGTAAGTGAGCAATGGTGACCATGTTCCTCAACTCTTTCCGCCTGCAAAGCACAAGCCCTGGAACGCGATGATGATTCTTGATTCAGGAGCAGTCTGCGCACCACCAGTAACACAGCAAAGAGAACATTGATGATATACCTGTCGACTGCTCCTGGAATGTGATCCAAAACGGCCCGCGAAACCACCAACAGCACAATGAAGTGAAAATTGATCAGACACTCGAAGACCGCCATGAACCACACTCGCGCACATTGAATCAATAGGAACAGCGAATCAGATGCACAATTCCCAGGAGAAAATATCGCCGCCTCCCCCGCACGTGTTGATCAAAGTATTGTAGATGATGTCGCTAGGCGCATCTTGAGCCTCCTCACCTTGCTCAGCAGCGGCAGCACCCGCTGCATCTGCCTGCGTTTCTCGCATGCGCTGAACCAGACGACGTAGCCCAAGCACTCGTCCGAGGCCCATGGCGACACTGTAGGTGATAACGTGCCGAAAGGCCCCGAGGGGCCCCGACGCTTGCCAAGCCACCATCACTTGAAACCGAACCAATGTCGGCGCAAATGTGGGTCTCCTGGACAGCTGCCTTCATCATAAGATGCTGGCACGTCCAGTGTCCAGTACATAGTTATACATCGATCGACTTCGTGCCACCGGAATCGGCTTCGCACCCGTGGCGCGTCTGACCCGGTGCCCCTCGAGCGCCGCGTGGAGGCGCGGGGCGCGGCGCCATGATGCGTTGAAATTCAAAAGGAAGTATTTGGCTTGGGCCGAGGAGGAGAAGGAGGAGGGAGCGAGGAGGCGGAGGAGGGCGAACAGACAGAAGAGGAAAGTGACGGAGCAGAAGGGGGTGAGGATGATGATGATGATGATGATGATGATGACGATGACGATGACGATGATGATGATGCTGATGATGTTGATGATGATGTTGACGCTGATGATGATGGTGGTGGTTATCAGGAGGAGGAGGAGGAGGAGGAGGATTGTGATTCTGGGGATGGGGATTGGTGTTGATGATACGGTATGTGATGGTGATGTTGATGATGTGGGTGAGGGTGATGAATCTGTTGATGCTGATGGCGATGTTGATGTTGATGCTGATGATGATGTTGATGGTGTTGTTGTTGTTGATGCTGCTGCTGCTGATTCTGATTATGATGATGGTGATTGTGATGGTGGTGGTGACGGTGATGATGTTGATGATGTGGCGAGAACGGGGAAGAGGATGAGGGTGATGAGATGGGCGGCTGATGAGGAGAAGGATAGGGGAGGAATAAGGCGACGACCACTGGAAGCATGCACAAAGGCCCTGGCGGAGGCCTCTTAGAACTATATGTGGTGGTCTCTTAGGGCACTCGTGATGGCCTTCTTGGGGCTATCTTGTAGGACATACATCAAAACGGGGCGAGCTTTGATATGCTCCCCTTTGAGGGGCAGACGCATCGCATCGTGGAGCCCCGTTGGGACGCTCTTGGGGCGCTCTTGGCCGCTCCTGGGGCTGTATGGGGGCCCCGCTGGGCCCATTTAGGGCTATCTTGGACGATCTTGGGGCCACCTTAAGGCCTCAGCCACAGCCCATCGGACGCCCAGGATTTCGGCCGCTCTGGGGTCTCCTTTGGAAGCTCGTGGCCACTTGGGGCCTCCTCGGGGTGGTACCTGAGTCATCTTGGATGTTATCTTGCGCTAACTGAAGCCCTCATAGAGCCACCTTGGGCCATCCTAGACGCTCTGACCGCTCGCGGAGTCCCCCGTCCAGATTCAGGGTAGGGTGTAGGGTGTAGGGTTCGAGATTAGTCTCTTCCCGAAGGGGGAAGACGGACTGTAACAACGAAGTCGCTAAACCACTACGCCCAGAGGGCTGGTGGGATTCAGCAGCGGCGCTGGTATTTCTTCGGGTCTCCTACGGACAGCGATGGGGGCCCTCCGGGGCCCCAGAACGGAGAGCACGTCTTTCCCTGACCCCTCTCCTTGAGGATGTTGGCCTCCCTCGCGGCAATCTGCGTCCACGCCACCCCCCGGCCCGGCCAGTAGATCTTAAGCACCGACCTTGGGCCCAAGATGGGGCGTGGCCTGGATCGGTGCAGGTTTGCAGAGAGCCTTGCCCAGCAGAGCCTTCGTCGAGACAACGGCGCGACAGCCGTGTTTTCCATGCTTGGGGCGAAGGACGGGGGACGAGCACGCTTCGAAGCACAGCCTTACATCCTGAGACTTGTTCCCCTTCTGGGACGCCCTCGTCGCCACAGCTGGATCCGCCTCGACATTCTGACCAGAACGCACCCCAGGCCTGCGTGGCCTCCGTGCGCCGCGCGAGAGCCAACCGCGGCGGCCCGCTGACCTTTTCAGCGCGCCTCGGCTTCCGCTGGGGTCCCGTTGCGATCTCCGGATGCCGTGAAGAAGCGGCCCGGGATCTGGACCAGGAGTTGCAGAAGCATCATACTATATATATGTATATAAACATACGCATGTGCGCATCTATATATATATATATATACGTGTGTGTATGTATATCTATACATATATATATATATATATATATATATGCATGTGCTGTCGGGGGTCCCCGCGGGGAGGCGCTGGAGGCGCGTCCAGCGCCGACCCAAGAAATCCGCGCGGAGCTCGGAAAGCGTATGTTTGTGCAGCTGCATCTCCCTCTGAGCAGCTGGCCCCCAGGAGTGAGGGTCGGGAGCTCCCATGGGGCCCCCATGGGGCCGGTGGGTCGAGAGTGCTGTTCCAGGCTTGCGCGTGGGCCGACACGCCCCGGCATTTGGGAGCGCACCGCCCAGGAGTACACCACGACTCGGGAGCCACGCCCGGTGAGGCTGCGGGGCACGCGCAGGCAGTTCCCCCAGGTAGTCCAAGCTGGCCTCAACAGGCCCCCCGAGAAGTCCGTGGCCGTGTCAACACCTGAGCCCTGGGGCGCGGGTCGCCCCACGGCCGCCGCCGGAGGTGGTGCCAGGGTGTCGAGACCGCCCCAGGCTACTCGGGGGATCTGTTGGGGACAGCCGGGGTCGGCGACCACCTGCTGCATGAGCGTACTCGAACTGAAAGGTCGTGCTTTCGTTTGCCACGGTTCCCACATTCTCTATTTCCTCACCATTGTTCCTGTCTTGCTTTGTCTGCTCAGCTCTTCCACCGCGATTTGCCCTTTGAATAGAAAGATGCGTGACTGTACTGGGGCTCCGCCCAGCGGCGGCTTGCTCGTGTGCTACGCTGTGTTTCTACATTGCTGATCCTCCTTGTTTGGTTTCAGTTTCCCGAGGGTCGCTCTGGTCTGGGCAGGCCGTCTTTACACATCACACAATGTAGCAGCTGATCCAGTACAGCCTACTCTTGCTGCCCATCGTGGCGTGCTCGTTGCTTGTTCTTTGTATGGCAGTAGGGGGGATGCTCGTGAGGCGCTCAAGCCGCGGCCAATCCCCGTCACCATCATTGTCGGCATCTCCTTCTTCCCTCCCTACCCGATCCCTCCCTTCTCTATGTCCCCCGTGTCTTCCTCCGCGGATGAGGATATGGGTGCGAGGACGAGGACGAGGAGGACGACCAGGACGAGGACGACGAGCACTCAACCCAGGTCGAGGACGTCCACTCGAGGCTGCGGAGCTGGGCCTCGCGCCCGCTGCGGCGCACGAGCTGAGCCCCGCTCGCGGCATCCTGCATCCTCCTCCCTCCGCCTTCCTCCCTCGTCCCCGCGCGCTCTCTGTCATCCTTCCGCTGCGGTCTCACCCTCTGAGGGGGCGAGACCCTTCTTGTCCAGGACGCCAACGCCTCAGGAGCGGGCTCTGGCTGGAGGCTCACCACCGCCGCTTGGCAGGGGGGCAGGGGTGGCAGACATGGGGTCGGGGGGCCGCGGTGGGGTGCAGGCAAGATGCTGAGCTAAATGCCACTTTGGGCTCAGGCAGGGCTCCGGTTTTCGGGCCGTTCCTTAGATCCAGGTCGGAGGGTTTCCTTTCGAAGCCGAGTTTCGCCGTGGCCAGAACATCCTCTGTTCCTTATTCAGCGTTCTTTCTTGTGGCACCGCGACGCGCTGGCGCCCTCCGGCGGGACATCCTGCGCGCCACGAGGGACACCCTGCGCGCCACGACGCAGGCCGACCTTGGCACCGCCCAGGGTGCGCTGGCGGTGAGCCTCCCCATCCCCCTCCATTGTAGGATCGCCAGTGGTGCCCCATGGCGAGCTCGGTGCACGACCTCGCCAGGCGCGCCCCAGGGGAGGCCTCGCGTCAGCCGGGGGACACCAGGTGCGGGCGAGAGAAAAGGTCCTCCGCGGCGCCGTCGGGTGGGCGCGACAGGCGAAGAGACGGGAAGGAGGAGAAGGTAGTACGCAGGGTTGGGGGAGGGGGCGGAGGAGGAAGAGGAGGAGGAGCAGGAGGAGGAGGAGGAGGAGGAGGAGGAGGAGGAGGAGGAGGGATCGTGGGCCCCCAAACGGTGCGGTGACCGCGCCATGTAGTGAGTCAGTGGGGATTCGGGATGACCGAGCCGTTTTGGGGCTTGGGTCGTTCTCAGAGGACGTCTCGGGCGACAGGGACCGCCAAGGTCCCCAAACCAGGCTGTGACGGTCCGTGCTTTGAGGTCCTTCGGAAGGTAGAGGTCACCGTATGGTTTGTCATTTGGGCCCAGAGGCGGTGGAGGAGGAGGAGGAGGAGGAGGAGGAGGAAACGGACGCCGATATCTCGCAGGAGGGGGTGTAGCGGGGGAGGGGGCATATAAGGAGGAGGAGGAGGAGGAGGAGGAGGAGGAGGAGGAGGAGGAGGAGGAGGAGGAGGAGGAGGAGGAGAGGGGCAGAGGGAATGGGGGGATGGAGACAGGGGCAGGGCAGAGCAAGGGGGAGGGGGATGGGGAGGAGGATGAGGAGGAGGAAGAGGAGGAGGAGGAGGAGGAGGAGGAGGGGCAGATGGGGAGCGAGGGAGTCGCACAGGGAGAGCCAGGGGAGGAGACGGAGACGAAGAGGGGGACAAGGGGGAGCCAGAGGCGAGTGTGATGAGGAGGAGGAACAAGGACAAAGAAGAGGAAATTCCTCGTTGTCCTGCTCCTCATCCTATCACCCCTGCTTCCAATGGAAACCCATGCCAAGAAACACCCTGCTTGCCTCCAGGGTGCACTGGGCGTTCATGGATTTCGATGATTTTGCGATGGAAAGCGTTACTCAGAGCGTGGATTACCTACCCCGCTTTCGCTTCCAGGCAAAACCAAGTTGTACCATACGCCTCCTCGTCAAGCGGCCTGACCAGTACATGCCGTAGAAAGGCATCGCTTGGTATCTCTTGGAAGCGAGGGTGGTCAAAAGCGAGGTAGGTTTGTTTGCCCCCTAGTTACGCTCCCACACCAAAAGTCAATGGACATCCTGGGGTCTCAGGGTTGGGTTTCTTGTGGAAGGTTTCTTGTGGTCGAGCTCCTACTGTATGAAGGGTTGACCCTATAAGGCGGGTTCAGTCGTCAACTGGGGGAGGGGGGGGGAGCTGTCAGTGGTGAAACGCTTCCGCCCTTCTTCATCGTTCCAGGGGGGCCCATTTCGATTGGACCCCCCGTCATTTCTTCCGAGTGGGTGGTCTGTCTGCGCGCGATTTGTCAGTTGCCGGCTTTCCCAACTGCATCGGAGGCGGGAACCTGTAGCCCCAAGATGACCCCGGACATCGCCGCGTCCGCGCTCTTCCCCCAAAATGACCCCAGACATGGCCGCGTCCGCGCTCTTCCTCGCTCGCCTCCACTCAGTTCCTCCTGGCGTCTCTGGCGTCCGAGTCGAACCAGCGCCCTGGGCGCGCGCTGTAGTGCTGAACAGGCGTCGATCCCCGCCGCCGCCGCCGCTGTTCGGGGGCCATGTGCGAATATCACGTCGGTCACTGATGAAGCACCCCCCCGGGTGTTTGATGAATACTTCGCCGTCGCCGTTTTTTCTCAGGATGTCTTGGTGTCGGAGGTCATCGTCGTCGTCGTCGTCGTCGTCGTTTTTTCCTCGACACCTCCTTGCGTGCTTCGCGCGCGCACGCGTGGCGGCCACTGAACGCGCCCACAGAGGCCGCAGGTGGAGCTCCTTGCGGGTGGGGCGTGCCGAGCGGGGCGCACCGCGGCACTGCGAAAGGAGCCCGCAGAGCGGGAATTGCAGCGCCCGCCCCCCCCCCCCGCGGGAAATTGGCCCGCAACTCTCGCGACCGCGGAGCAGAGGGCATGGGAGAGGGAGGGGGGGGCAGCGACCTCAGAAAACAGTCCCAGAGACAAGGTTCGAATGCCGCCGCCCCACCTATGCCGGCACACCACTGACATGGATCGTACCCCACAGGAAGTTCCGCTACAGCCCCAGAGAGATGGCTCGCAGGCGTCCCCACGCTCATAACGGGACACCTCTCACACGGATCGCGCTCCACAGAGACCTCCATGCAGGCGACCTCCACCGACGACCCCACTAGATATCATCGCCATCATCATCTTCATCATCATCATTATCATCAGCAGCAGCATCATCATCATCGTCATCATCATCCATCACTTATCATTCATCATGCATCATCATCGTCATCATCGTCATGAACAAACCCGTCCGCCTGAGTTCTCTTCCGCTGCCCTTTATTCACATCGAAGGTTTCTTTACTCATCCTCATCCTCATCATCATCCTGCCCATCGTCATCGTCTTCATTACAGCCGGTGTCATCAACATCAGCATCGTCATGTCCATCATCATCAACGTGTCCCTCATCCTCAACAGCAGCGTCATCTTTCCTTCGTGTTCCTCCTCCTCCTTCCCCTCCTCCTCCTCTTCCTCCATATCCTCGCACTCCCCCCGGGCGGCGGCGCACGCAAGAGGGAACGCGAAGACGTGGGCTGATCCCACGCAGCGACGAAAGCGAATGACGAAGGAATTCGGAAGGCTAAAGGAGCCTCTCGGCCTGTCGGAAGGCCCAACTGATTTTTGTTGAAGGCCCAAAGGGTCTGTCCGGAGGGCCCCATAGGCTTGTCGGGAGGCCCAAGCCTGTCGGGAGGGCCCAAGAGGTGTGCTGGGAGGCCCAATAAGCTTGTCGGAAGGCCCAAGAGGCTTGTCGGAAGGCCCAAGAGGCCTGTCGACTGGGCCCAAGAAGCCTGCCGGGAGGCTCAAGGTGCTTGTCGGGAGGCCCAAAGGCATGTCTGGAGGGCCCAAGTGGTCCCTGGGGAGGCCCAAGAGGCCTGTCGGGAAGCCCACGAGGCCTGTCGGGAGGCCCAAGAGGCCTGTCGGGAGTCCCAAGAGGCTTGTCGGGAGGGCCCAACATGCTTGTCGGCAGGCCCGGGAAGCGGACCACAGCAATTCGCAGCGTCAAAGCTGAGAATATTCATATTGGGTTCCAGGAGTTGAACGCCTCTGCCTGAGATTGAGCCCTTCTGCTGGGGATTACCTGTTTCTCCCCCCACCCCATTGCCCCACCGCCTAGCCAATTACACAGCAAACCGCTTATCGAGATTTTTGGGAGAAGCTGAGACTGGTGGATATTATGAAGGTCAGTCAATGAGACATGGAATAACTGAGGGGTTCTGAGCGTTGGAAGGATTGAGGAATGTTGGAGGACCGACGGATTCTGACAGAGCGAGAGGCCTTCTGGGAAATTGAAAGACTTTTATCGGTCGTGACACTTTTGCAGATCGTTAGTTTCAGAGAGAGAGAGAGAGATAGAGAAACAAAAGGAAGGTTCTTGAGAGCACAGCAGAACTTTCGGAATTCGCAGAACCAGAGAGTCTGATAGAGTCTGACACATTATGAGGGATTACAGGGTTGAGGCGCTTTGGGCCACACGGATAATCTGAAAAGTTTGGCGCCCTGAGAGGTTGACAGAGTCAGATACCGAGAGTCGCTACAACTCTGGGAGGTTGATAGGTCTTGAAGGCGTGGGCCGCTGTGAGAGATTCAAAGGTTATGACGGCTTTAAGACATCTGGAGATTGACATAAGCTGAAAGCTTAAGAATAATCGCACCGACTTGCGGGTTTCATCATAGTTTGGAGGTTACGAGTTACGCAGTGCGTCTGGAAGCTTGAAGCTTGCAAGGTACCGAGAAGTATGCATATTCTGAAAGATTCAAAAGGTTCTGACGGGTCTCGCAATTATGGAATAATGAGGGTGTGGACGGGCATAACAGACTAACCTATTCTGGGTGATGGTGACGTTCTGGGGCATTGAAATCAAAGCAGAGAGGTTCTGGGAGTTTGAGTTTTCTTGGGGAATTGATGGAATTCCAGGGGTGGAGAGACCCTGAACGCTTGATAAGTTCACACGTCCTGTCAGGTTGGGAGGTTGTTCAACAGTTGGCCAGCCCAGGGATGCATAGTGTGCAGAGATAAGGAAGCTGATACGAATGGACACGAGAGAGATAGTTGTGTTTCACATCGGTTTGAATTGTTTGAAAGTTTCGAAGATCAGAAGGTCTTGACATAATGGAGGAATCTGAGTGTCTCAGAGATGCTGGGAGATCAAGGGATTATGGAGAATTAGTGAGTCAAGCGCGAGGCGGACTGAGGGATGTTGGAGATTCTGACAGGTTGGGAAGTTCCGCTTGGGAATGAGAACCCAGAGAGACTTGGTGATGTTATGGCTTTGGGAGACTAAGCCCTTCGGAAAGACGTGGTTCTTACGAAACGAAAAAGACGGCAGAACACCAACAGGTCTCCCGTCCCCCACAACCCCGAGTAATGATGATGGCATGGTTGATCTTGGCGGCGGAGATAATGATGGCCATGGTCATGATGAGCAGGTTGTTGATGGTGGTTCTGTTGGTCGTGGTACTGGTGGCGTTGATGATGATGATGCTGATGATGATGCTGATGACGACGGTGATGATGATACAAATGCTGATGCTGGCACTCTTCATGCTGATGCGGATGCTGGTGCTGATGATGATGATGTTGATGAAGATGATGATGGTGTGGTGATAGTTATGCTGATGGTGGTGATGTTAAGTCCGATGGTGCTGGTGTAACTTGGTGGTGATGGTGATGTTGGTGTCGATGATGTGTTGGTGAATATGGTGGTGATGGATGTCCAGTTGGCATGGCGGTGAGGGCGTCGTGGTGGTAATGATGCTGCTGGTGAGGATGAAGTTGATTGTGATGGCGAGGGGGATGATGGTAGTGGGGATGTGTGGGGTGGTGGTAGCGTTGCTGGTGATGGTGATGGTGACGATGCGAATCATGGT